CAGCGTATGTCCACCGCAGGGCTACGAGGATATCAGGGGCCTGGAACATCTGTTCTGTGAGGAAATACTGAGGGAGCTGGGCCTGTTCAGCCTGGAGAAGAGAAGGCTGAGAGGGGACCTGATCAGTGTCTATAAGTACCTCAAGGGAGGCAGTGAGGAGGATGGTGCTGGCCTCTTTTCACTGGTGGCCACCGACAGAACTAGAGGAAATGGCCACAAACCGAAGCATCAAAAGTTCCACAGAAACTTAAGGAAAATTTCTTAACAGTGAGGGTGCCAGAGCACTGGAACAAGCTGCCCAGAGAGGTTGTGGAGTCTCCTTCTCTGGAGATCGTCAAAACCCGCTTGGATGCAGTCCTGTGCCACGTGCTCTAGGTGACCCTGCGTGTGCAGGGGGGTTGGACTAGATGATCTCTAGAAGTCCCTTCCAACCTTAAGCATTCTGTGATTCTGTGATTCTAAGACTATGACTCCCCCCACTCTCACCGCCCGACCAGCATGACAGGCGATTTGTCCCACGAACCAGAAAACTTGCAGACTCTGGGTTCACTAGCCAGAGGTGCTCATCTTTAAAACCATCTCTGCTTGCAGACTTTGGCTTTTGCTACAAACCAAACATTTCCCAAAAGTCATGATCAGAATCTAGTAGGGTACATTGAACTTTTGGAAAGAAAGAGTTGTTTCTCCTATTCTGTTCTAGTATATATTTAAATATCTCATCAGGCACTTTTCTAGGTCATCTTTTCCTTCTTCATATGCTTGCCTACTTTTTGTATTTTGTCTGTGTGTTTGAGTAAAAGCACGCTACACCGAATTATGCTGAATGTTACATCATTGATGTACACGTAGATGTGTATTTACATATATTGCTAAGAATTCTTTGAGAAATCTAGTTAGCTCTGTGACAGCTGAAGCATTCATTTGCATGAGCTCTGAGTGCAGACAAACAAAAAGAATTAATCAAGCTCAATCTTGCTAATTTTCAGTGTGATGTTCCTTATGTAGCATTTAGCTCCATATAACAAAGCTCCACATACTGCAGAAGCTGAAGAAAAATGTTTTATCAACACAAGAAATCTTCCTGCCTAAAAATTCATTATCCTATGTAAATGGAGTTAAAACCAAATTATTTTCTTCTTGAATTTTCTTTAACATAAGATGAAATGATGTATCTCTTCAGACATTGTGGTGTGTGTGTATACTTACAAATACTTACAAGTATATAACTATATGTAAGTATATACACACATGCACATATATTATTTCTTCCTCTTTCTCATTTTGTAGACATATATACAAAGTGGGTCAAACAAGTTGCTATGGACGTAAATGATACTAGATGAATAAACAGTCCAGCTGTTTGTGGTCAAATGCAACATTTCAACAAATGCTTCTCCGAAATAAAAATTCTTCCAAGGAATGATTTATAATTTAGACCTGTAAAAAGGCTTCCTGGACAGTATTTGTTTCCCATGTGTAATGTGGTTTAAAATCTATTTTCTGGTCCAACTCTCCACAGTTGTCTCTGAAATGGGCTTGGTGATGGATGGTGGCAAACCGCCTAAAGATGACTAGATATTTTGCCTTTCTAACGTATGTCTCCAGAGTGGTGAGTTAGTGTCTAGCATCATATTAATGTCACAAAGTAAAGGAAGTGGGGTGAGAGAGTCACTAATGAAAAATTACTTGAGCTGGACTCACAGAAGAGGAGCTGGAGAGCTCCGTCTGGGTCCTCTTCTTCCATGAAGCCCTGGATCTCCTCTCAGAGATATCTTGATAAAGCAAGATAATTTTTTGAGAATTTGAGATTTTTTCCTCAACAGGCACAGAATTAACCCTTTTGAAATCTTTAATGAAAACAGGCATGTAATATGTATTGAGGAAATCAAAATGGCCGGGTGACTCAAGGTGAGGTAGGTCATCAGGATGGTGGTGGGACACTTGGCCTAATCCTGTAGAAGGCCCTAGAGCAAGCCTTGCCTCTGCTGAATGGAAGTGGAGAGTTTTCCTCCTTTGTTACCTAAAGTGATCTTGTCTCCAGCACAACAGTTAAGTGCCACTCATCTGGATACAGGTATGTGAAATGTCCGCTCCTCTCCCAGGTCAACACATCCTCCAATGCAGTACAGTTTGGTAACTTCTGATGTCAGTATTTTTTTCTGACTCCAGCTATTTAACTCTGTGGAACTGGGCATCTTGCCACTTTCATGTGGCTCCTTTCTGTTTTTCGTTCTCTTGAGTGAAGGCTCAGCTAACTTCTGGGGGTCAGTCGCAGCTCTCTCGCTGGGAGCCACCTAGCGTTCTGGCACCGTACACTGATTGTTATCAAAAAGTTTGTTTGTATGTTTTAACCAGTGGAGAATGCCTAGCGTTCTGGCACCACACACTGATTGTTATCAAAATGTTTGTATGTTTTAACCAGTGGAGAATCTCTTTAAGATTGGCCTTCTCTTAAGAATCAGCTCTGAAACCCTGGATTACATTTCTGGCTGTGGCACAGCTTTCGCGTCTGCCTTTGCAGCCTCTTCTGCTCTTCTGGTGGGATTTTTAACCCATCTAAGCGAAGGCACCAAATTCCTCATTTGTGCAATGTACAAATATAAGTTATTAGCAAGGTGATATCTTTTTCTCATTTGGAATATGCTTGATATGCTCTCTCATACAAATAATAGTAACTGACATGGATTTTGCTTTGGAATAGGGTTCATCAGTCTCATATGAAAATATTTTTATATGCTTTTCTATTAACATATTTGTTACTAGCCTTGAATTTTAGCTTGAGTGATTGCTACAAATGAACTTACATGGATATTTATCAGAATACTGAGCTGTGATTGCTCTGAATCAACATTTTAAAAATTCAAGTATTTTAGTAAACCACAATTAAAATGATTAATGGAGGAGATTTGACAATTTTTATTGTTTTAGCTATCTTACAATATTTGCACTTTTTAAGAAAAAATTAATTCCCTGCCATCCCATGAACATGTCTCGGGTGTCATTTTATAATGAGGGGTAGCATATTTCTACCCCTCACAGGAACAGAGAAGAGCTGAAAAATACAAGCCCCCAAGCTCTTGAAATCGAAACAGCAAAGAAATAGATGCTATCACCATTCTTGATTCAATTTTTTAAAACCCAAATTTATAATTTGGTTAAAAATCCTAATTGCTAATGCTTTATGTGCTTGCAATTAGGGATATCCTGTAAATATGTTCTACAGAAAAAATGTTTTTGAAAGGCTACTTCAATGAAAAACAGAATTGCACACTGTGGCCATTCAAAGTGCAATCATTTTCTCTGCCAGGGTTACTATTTAAATACCCTAGGACCCACTGTCTTCCATGAATTTTACTAGTTGGTTTTTGAATTGATTCTGGTGTAAACAGCGTAAGTTTGGTCATTTGGATGACCAAACTGAGCAACAAGTAGTAGTCTAGCTTTTCACAGCACACCGTGTTATTCTTCAGCTCTCCCGTAAGACTGTAGATTTAGTACCAAGCAGGGCCTCTGTTTTCTAAATTAGGAGTGCCCAACTTAAAATATTGTTTGGTCCATTCCTTAATTGGCCTCTCAGAGTTATTTTTTAAAAAGAGTTTGCCTATAACGTTAGCAGCTCTGACTCAGACACAAAAGCAGCACATCTGCAGAGGAAGAAGGCAGTTTTTCATACCCTCCGTTTTCTAACTATAACCACATTGTCACACACTGCAATGAAAACTCTAAAACCTTCAGTCAGCCTCTGTCTCTTTGCAGAAAGTCTGATCCTGTGAAACCTGCAGGGACAGTTTCTGTGTTTGCCTCGTGGACAGAAGATCATTCCCAGGTTGGGAGTCTACTGATTGTGACCACTGCACCTCTGAAGAGAGAGGAAGAAAAATGGTAGGTTGATTTGGGTTCCAAACATGCATTTATTTCTCCCAACTGATGGTAGGAAGTAGGGCTGTTAGAAGTCTGACTAGCAGACGATTATATGAGGGCCTCTGAGAGATACAGCACCCAGTGATTTTTTCATAATACAGCAAGTCAGATGTGAAGTGGACCAGCCAGGCCAGATGTGATGTGGATTTTTGAAGCATAAGTTTCAGGCATGAATTATTTACTATAATTGCCCAAGCCAGGGCAATTGCTGCTTTCCACAGTGAACAGGAATGCCCAACAGCACTACCAGTTTCAGTGTGAGTTTGCATTAATTCTCGGTACCTCTATCAAGGTAATGAGGATCTTTGATTTTCCCTGACTCCATTTGTTTATTAAGGTAAGTCAGAAATCTGCGAGACATGGTCCTTGTATTAAGGCATAACATGCTTAATGTAGAGTAGCTGGACTGCTAATTAAATGAAAATGTCTCCGTCTCTAAAAATAATATAGCTCAATATCCATCCACCTGTTAGAGGATTATGTGTTTTAGTAATGGATTTAACAGGAGGTTTATTCTTTGTACTTTCTTCTTCTCTGTACTAGCTGAGTATGAGAGCGCCTTCTGCTCGGTGCTGTACACACACTGTGCAAAACAAGGATGTTGCTATGAAGACTTTCTAGCTGGAGCAGCAGACAGGAGACCAGTGCTTGTAAGGAGGCGAGAAGTAAGACTTTGCTGGGGAGCAGCGGGGAGCAGCAATTTTGGAGAGCTGCCAGCTGAAGATCAGTGGACATCACCCCTCACATCTGAAGAGCGACCCCAAAATGGTTCCTGATAGTCGCATATGTTATGAGAGTTTCCATAAATTAAAAGACTTAACATTCACATTATTCACATTGTTGTTAGTATTGTTCCTATTGCATGAAATGAGATTTTTCTCCATCGTGTTGTCATTATCAGTGGCATAAAAGGAGCTTCCAAATGGAGAGTTTAGGTTGAAGGCTTCCCAATGGAGCAAGCTCTGTTTGAAAGATTGCAGGTTTTGGAGTCTGAACTTCTTGCACTCAGTGAGCATTTGCTGAGTTCTTCAAAGCAGAGGCTGCCTTAAGCCTCTCTCCCCGTGGCAATCCCCAGTGAATCAGCCATGGAGGCAGGGAGTCTGGGAACCCCCTGCCTTCAGTGGCACTGACACGTGGCTCTGCTGTTGGCGATACTCCTGCGGCAGCGCTGCCGAGCCCTGGTCTAATAGGCTTCCTGCCGAGTGGGAGACGGTGAAGAAAACAATGTCCATCTGATTCACACTGAAGCTAAATTTTGAAAAAAAAAACAACCAAAAACAAAGAGATTCTGAGGTTTTCTGTTAGCAGGAATCACTCCTTCCTGACTGTCCTCCGTACTAACTTGGACCCTCTCATCAAAACTTGGGATGTCTGGACTTCATGACTTCTGGAATTTCGATACACAAGAGATGTTTAAATACGGTTGAGCATAATGATGGATGTTAATGTGAACTGCAGAAGGGGATTATTATCTACGTTCAAATTACTAATGTGTCTCCTAACGCAGATTCTTGCTAAAAGATTGGGAAATTCACATTGGATTCTAACAGATTATGTTACATAGTTCCAGAAACAAATCTGACCATGGCGATTGGAAGGGAATTTATTCTACCAAACTGAGACAGGTTTTAAGTCAGTAAAATGTATGTGTCAATTTCATAGATTTATCTGTGTGCAGGACAGAAGCAATGGCTAGTTTTTCTAGTCTGACACCAGGTATAACAGGCCATAGATTTTCCCCAGCATCTTCTCTCTTAAGACTCTTTTTATATGACAATAGATTGTATCCTTTTTTGCTTGTTTGTTTTTTTAATAGCTGTTTTGGCTTTAGGTCTGTCTCCTTCCTTACCAAACCGTTCGGGTCTTGTTTGCTCTGTGCATGTTTCAAATGTCATTACCGTAGAGATGCAGTATAATATTAGTGAAAGTTTCAAGGAAGTACCTCACTCATTTTCCCACTGCCTGTAGTAAGGATGTTGGTGGATTTTCTCTTCCAACTTCAGACTGGCTGTCAGCTGTTTTACCATAATTAGCTTGGTTCAAAAGAGTAACTGAGTCCGATTTTTGTAACCGTGACTTACAGCTCTATTCTGTTGTGCCTGTGAAGTAAGTGGTGAAATGGTGTCTTTAGCATACCTTGCTGTTAACATTTAGCACAAGCCAATTTCAGAACAGCTAAGCTGGTTTCAGTAATATTTGCCAGCACTCCTCATCAATGCCCCACTCAGGTGAGCGTGCTGCATTTTTATACGCGTGCTTGGGGTGGGAGCTGGCAGCAACGAGTGGGGCATTAGGGCTCTTCGTACCCCGTGTCGGACCACAGGGCTCCTGGACACGGGCAGGAGGCGGCGCCGGCTGAGCGTCCGCGTTGCCGTTGGGAAGCCACCAAACGGGAACAACTTTGCAGCTTCGCTCTCATCAGCAGCGCTAGTTGCTGGGCTGTTCATGAGGAAGAACTTAATTCACGGCTCATGTCAAACCGCCGGTAACAGGAGGTCTCGGGAGTGATTCACAGGCTTTTTGCCTTAGGGATATTTGTGACCTTTATGAATTCATACATAAACACATGCCGGTAAATGAAAGCAGATGTGTGATTAGGCCACTAACTGAGGTAACATAATCTTGATTTAAAAAAATCACAGGGTTAACCTTGATTTTATGCAATGTAAGTGTCTCGTTTGTTATTGTTTTGTTGTGTTGTCTTGTTTGCACTTTACTGGAAACATAAGCTGTCCATATAAAACTAGGAAACAGTTCCCTTTTGCTTTTCCCCACTAGTTCCCTTTCAGAAGCAGAAGCTCTGCACAACCAACAGATTTGTCAAAAACATTGCTTTACTTCTTACTTGTACAAAGATACTAACTTTCTATCTTTAAGCGAGCAGCGTAGAGGTGGCCCAGTGAAAAGGCTCTTTATCCAGAGGCCTCCGCGAGACAGAAGCAAGGGAAGGAAGGATCAGCGCTGGATTTAGTTCACCAGAAGCAAAGTCTTTGGGAACTGGAACTAAGCCTGGAGACTTTTGATGAAACACAGCTCCAGCACCTAAAATTTGTAACAGTACTGGATGCCAAAAATCAGATAAACAATATAGGTATTCATTTTGTGTTGCATTCTGATTTCTGAATATTCATTTGTATGTGCCACCTACGATGCACTGCAATTCCTACTCCCCCTACCTCCATCTTCCACAGTGTTCAAATATCTGTCTTCCTTTTTCCCCTGGGGACAGCTTGCTTGTCAGGTTTCCTCTGCACCAGCAACATGTTGCTGCATGAAAACCTAAACCTGCTATTTTATCTCAGATCATCTAAAATACATATTTAATGATAGCCTTAACAATTGGGCTCACACTGTATCTAAATTTGAAATATCTATCAATATCTTATCTATCTTTCTAAATTTTCTAGGTAGCCTGATTACATCTATTTTATCTACCTATAAAACTTGTTTCACATACAAAAGAAAACGTTTTGCACAGGTGTTGTCCATAGCAAGAGGCACTTGCATGTGAAGGTGCTTCAAAAACTCAACACTTGCAGGTTATTGTTATCTCTACATAAACCGAAAGGAACCTTTACACCTTGAGGAAAGGCGTAAGTAAGGAATAAGGAATTAAAGAAGATGCAAAATATTTTTATTACATGAGTTCTTCTAACTACAAAGACCATGTTCAAGGAACATTTGAAATGTAATCACTGAAGCCTAACTCAAGAGTTTTTTTCTCTTTGAGAACTTAAAAATAAAGATCAAGATATCTACCTATCTACCTCAAAAACAGATTGGAGAAGATGATCATATCACAGCTTATTCCAGTAAAATGATGAGAAATTATGGAAATAATATAGCAAATCAGGACTGCCTAATGGCAAATTGTCAAATATTGCAAATTTCCATTCTCTCCAGATTGCTCATTGTTATTTGGGGCCATTATGGCAATTCTAGATGAATTTCATGTAAACTCCAAACAATTTTATAAAATGCTTGCTAATTGGAAGGAAGACTGAAAACATGGTAAGGCCCAACTTTTTTAAATATGTGATTATCTATGTTGTGTTGAGTTTTGGCATAGGGCTGAAAATCTTGTATTTGAAAGTTTTTTTTTTTTTTTTTAGTAATGAATAATGGGAGAGAAAGGACTGGGTTTGTTTTGTTTTGTTTTCTGGGTACTATATATCTTGTATGATATTTCCCAGGAATAAAAGTGTGGAGCATTTGTGGGAAAATTATAGATGGGAATTGAGCCTTACAAAAGATGAATTGGGAGTGTGAGGCCCTTATGTGCAGATTCTTGCAATGAGGGCTCTCCCGCATAGAAAGCAAGACTCTCTGTTGGAAGGGTTGGCAGAATATGGCACATTATACATTCTTTAGTTTGCACAGTACTTAGGCAATGTGTTTGGTCTGTGCATGCACAGGAGGCCATCCCTTCACTACAGGGCGTTCGCTGTCAGGAAGGAGTTTATAAAAGGCCCTGTGGACAGAGGAAGCTGTGAGGTGGTAAATGGAATCTGTGGTTTTCTTTTAAAATATTCCCTTTTTGCCTTTTAATAAAGAGCAACTCCAAACCGGTGTGACTTTTCTCAAAATATGCCTGTAAATAAAACAATAAAAACCAGGACAGCTTAGCAACTTTATTACACTATGCAAAAGATATAATGAACTGAACAAGCAATAACAAACATCAAGCCGTGGAACAATTTATACTTGCTGGAAAAGATGCTCTAATACTCTATTCAGTGAAGTCATGTCACTTCCAACCTTTCTATTTATTTTGCTTCCAGGAAATGAGAACATACTGATGGGAGGTATCTACATCTGTGCACAGTTAGCAGCTGTGCAGCCCTTGGCTTCCAGCAGACATACAAAGAATACCGAGCATGCCTTGGTCTGGTACTGCAGTTTCATAAGGCAACTAGAAAATGAACTTTTCAGGTTAGACAGATACAAAACATATAAAACCTAAGATTGCTACTTTATTCTTGGATCATTGGCCAACAAGCTACTATTGAAGTTTACATTATTAGGCTGTTTGAAGTAAATTTAAGGACTGAGATTTCGGCGCTCGCTCATTTGAGTTGCGTTGTTGGATTATTGAGTAAAACGACCCATACAGTTTTTATGAATATCAAATTCTGCCCTCCTGCATTTTCCAGGTGGTATCCAGAGGAACTAATCTCCCCTTGCTGACTGCTCAGCCTACCTGTGGGCTGATTTGCGGGCAGTATGCCAAGGAAAAAGACATTTATTTGGTAGGTTTGGTAGTTTTGACCATTTGCCTGCATGCTGCTCATCCAGGAATAACACTGAAACCACAGACTGTGTATTGAAGTTCACTATCTTACAAAGTAATTCAGGCAGAAATGATGGGACACTTTTCCCTAGAGATCATAAATCTCCCCTTTGTCAAAGAAGGAGCATGAAATAATCTTGTACTGCCACTGTCTAACGGACCAGCAACACCAGCTTCAAGAAAGCAGCACAGTATGGGGCAGACAGACAAGCCAGTGGGTGCTATGAAACCAATACCAGCAATATGGTCAGAAACTCTCAAACTCTCTGCCTGGATTTATGCATTTGCATGCCACTAGATGCTGTTTTTGCTTTATAGGTTTTCTCTTGGTTTAAATTGGTATTGGATATAGTTAAGGTTCCGCCAGTGTTTAACAGGAAACATGTTTGGGCCTCTTTCTTATTATGTTAAATAACAACACTTAATATCTTTAATCCTTAAAGCAAACTTTCAGATATTTCTGTCTCTAAGGACATGTAACACATCACTAGCAGCAAACAACTGGGAGCATTAGCCAAATAAGAAAGAAATTTCAGACTAACAGATCAGCAAATGCCTATTCTGCAACTCAGACATTCAAGTAAAACAATTTTATTTCTAGTGAGCACCTCTTAACTCTTGGTGCTCTTGGCAGTCTTTATAGGTATATGGTCGCTAGTGAAAATGTGATCTGGTTCCAGACTGAGGGCATCCAGTGAGATGCAGGCTGCACCCAAGAGAAAGAGGAGCTCTTCCTCCCGCTCCCTGGTCTCCCAACTCCTGCCACCCTGGGCTGCCCCTCTGTCCATGGTGTCTCAGGCAAGAGGTGAACGTCAGACTGCAATTAGGCAAGAGTTGAAGACTTTGTTAGAAGAATCGCTGCCAATTTCTTCACTGTGGCACAAGATTTGTGTGGTGGAGGAGAAGCCCTGGAGAAGTATAAACTAATGGAGCTAGTTCTTTATTATATTGGTATTCTACTACCTGCAGTAAAAAAAAAAAAAAAAAAGGTTTAGCTTTGTAAAAGGACTTTCATTTGAAAAGACAACTTTCTGAAATTACAAGCTCAGATGTTACTGAATTCAAGTAATACAGAGATATCTATGTAAAAACTTCTGGTTAGTGGTCTGTGAGTACAGGAGGCCTCTGTATGATCTAGTTCTTCTCCCACAGATGTACAAGTCTGTTAAACTTCATCACTTTCCACTCATGTAAGAGAGAACACATTCAGGCTATAATAAACAACTCAATAGAAGGGATTCTGGAGGAATGAATAATCAGTATGTTTTAGGTACATTAAATTCAGAAATGAAGACTAAATGTGATATGTTCTTTTTTTAAAAAAGGACAAAAGCACAATAGAAAATAAAACAAACAATCCCCCTGCCCCAGCATACTGATTCAAAGTTTTATAATTTAAGAGTAGTGAGGACCAATTTCCTGTTGTTGCTTGTGTTTATGCATTACTTCTCTCATTCTCTAAAGGTTTTTAAAGTGTATTTATATTTCTTTTTCCTCTGGATGTCTTCTTTGCAAATGTTGTATTTGCAGAGAAAGTACACTTCACAAACCTCTGCATTTTTATGCAAAAGTGGAATATTACTGTGGGGAAATTCATCTAGGTCATCTTAGATGCACAAACTTTGCTCTGTGCTCTTCCCAAAAGAGGATCTTTAGACTTTCTTTAGACTTTCACTTTCCATTTTTTTCACTGTTTCCATTTCTGTATCGGCATCTTTGAGTTGAATGCTCTTTCTTCTTCTTCTGTTTTAAGATTATTTCCACTGTTTTAGTTACTTTTCTTCGCTTTGCACAAACTGGTCCCAGTGGCAGAGTTTGCTGTTAAACAAAAAGGATCCAATATGCATGGACTTGACTTTAATCGGAGCTGATACCCTTATCATGCAATTTTTACTACTTGAAGAAGAAGACCTATATATGTAAGAAGGTCTGTGTGAGGAGAAGTCACCTGTTTATAGCTAAGGTATTCTTTTTCCATATTATCTAGGAAGAAACGTCTTGCAAATGGGGCAATTAATGCCTAAACTCTCAGTCACCTGTCACTTAATCCATAATTTCTTCGCTTTCCTAAGAAAATGAGCTAGGTTGGTAAGCATGTGCAAAAACTCTGGACAGTGCAGGAGAAAAACAACAACAAAAAACATATATTAGACCAAGACTGTTGTTCCTGCCCACAAAGAGCTTCTGGTTAGGCAATGTATTCACATCTGGCATTTGGTATGTGAATATATTGTGGCTGATGATAGTCTAAGATCTTTTATAAAAGATTTTTTGTGCTTGCCATCACTACATCATTACATTATGGAGTCTGAGTTTTTAAGGTACAATCCAAAATTCTGGTCTTTGGCAAACCAGTAGATTAAACATACTGTTGACAACAAATGGGTCTGAGTTTGGGTCCTGTGGTCTGACTAGCTTTCATTTGGGAAAAATCAAATGTATATATTAGTTTCATTTCTCAGCTCCACTTCTAGTGTGCTGTTCGAAGAGATGTAACTGTACCTAAGATGTAGATACAGATCCTAATATGCCAAAATATTCATTTAGGATGCCATGTATTAAATGTGTAAGTGGTATTTCAGAGCATTGAAACATAATTTAATATACTTCTATTAAATGGTTATCAGAAATAATTTTAAACATACACATAAAAAGATGCCCTTCATTAAAGCATATGCTGAAACAGAACATTGCCTGCTGCAAGCAGAGAAATGTGACTTAAAAATGGAGGAAGTAGACATCTCCTCTGCCTTTATGAAGTCCTTTTCTTTTGGGGTCTTGTTAAAAACCACCATGCTATTCTTGCAGGAACTATTTAGTTAAAGTCTACAGAAAAATACAGAATGCAACAAAGCAAATGTAGTCTGCAAAGAAGAGGATGTGACAGCAGAAAATATTGTAATGGCAGTCACAGCAGCAATTAAGGTGAGAGCTTTTAAGATCATCGTTGGTAACTGGACGCTTCCAGCAGCAGACTAGCAAATGGAAACATCTGTGTAAAACAGCTGTAAAATAAATTCAAGGGTTCATGAGCTATTTGATCCTATTTAATGGGTATGCATGTTGGTAAGTGATAATTTGGATATATGGGGAAACACTATCAAAATCTGACTGTCCTGAGAAGCCATCCTGGCGGCTTTACTGGGAAATAAATTTTAGGAAAAATGAAAGCCACAGAAATTTTCTCACAATGGATTCGTCATCTGGGTACTGGCAGGGAAAAAAAAAGAAAGTAGTTCATGCCTGTTCTTTTTTAAACAAACTCTTTGGAAGGTATTGCTTTATCTGGCCTTGAAGTGTTTCACAAAATACACAATATATTTTTCATTAATGCTGAACACATAGCATATACTAATGATGTCCTGATACAGGGCAAATAAAAGTAAACCATTCTCCGGGATCATTGAAGGGGCTAGTGATGCTAGTTTAAATTTCAGATGCACAAAATGTAAGTGTAACACTACAGACTGATAACATCTGATATAAACACATCTTGGTGAAATACAGGTGACTGCTAATTACTACAGATTAAGAAGTTGAACAAAGATATACTGAAATATAATATTAATTTGTTAGAAATTTTATGTTCGGCTTGAAATAAATTAACAACTTTAACACAGAAAAATACAAAATGGACAGAGCAGACCACTTACAACCAAGAACTTGTGAATTTCGAGGAGTGGATAAAGTAGATATCTGTTCTGAGAGTCTACTATAAAAGCAGACAAAACTTCCAAACAATACTTCTCAGCAAGGACTTAGAACAAGACTTTTTCAAAGACAGGGTGATTACTAAAGACCTGTAGCTTGTGCTTCTACATCTGTAAATTGAAAGTCAGTATTTCAACCAAACAAAAAGAGCCGTGCAAAAACCTCCTGTTTCTGCTTAGGAGAAAGTGACATTAGCACAGACAGACTGCAAACTGTAACTGGCTATAAGAGGTCAGTGGACACTTTTTCTACACAGAAAAAGGTTTTTCTTTCAGATGTAGTTATATGACCTGCAACAAGAATATAGACTTGGAAAATACTTCAGCAGTAGCTAGCATCCTGGCCAAAACTTTTGCTAGAACTGAAATAAAAGACAGACCCTGGCATTTTCCAAGTAACTGCTCTGAAGACTACTTGTTTGAAAAGCATGGGGTCACTGTGCTCCAGAGGGAAACCATAATGACAGGGAGAATGGAGAGGCCTCAGAGTATTAAATTCAAAGCTCCAGTTTTGAACTGGCCTCTGCTATAGCCTCTCTCTCTCTCTCAACTGGAGAGAAATTTGTCTTTGAGAGAATGTCCTCATGCACTTCATATCCTGTTGTTCAGCAGCTTTTTAGGAAAATGAGGAATCGTTAAAGAAATGTTATAAAAATGAAAAATCAAATTGAGGTCCTTATTTGGTCTCAGTGTGGCAACAATGCTTTTTTGGGAGATTTAGAGATTTTAACTAAATAAAAGTGCCAAAATATTGTGGCTAACCCATAGCTATCAACAGTCAGTTTGCTGACTCTACCGATAGCCCCTGATATTAAAAATATGGGCACTGTAAATCCTTACAAACATTGCAAGATTCTCCTGTAGAAAATGTTTTATGACAAAGGGTCAAATGAGTTAAAACCTTCACAGCTACATGGCATAATACATATTGATATCCAAATCTAATCACAAAAGGCAGTTTTCTTTTTCAAAGATACTTCTCATTTCTATAAGATCATAACCTAGAACAGATTTCCTCCAGTTTCTTCTGCAGAAAAAAAAAGAAGAGAGACATAAGAAATTAAATCTAAGTCAAAAAGCTCCAAGAAGGAAAAAGCTGCACTGATCCCAATGGACTGAACAGAACAACATGCCACAGCCTCTAGGATGCCAAGCAGGCCCCCCTAAATAAATAGATTGAGAATGCCAATCCTGATTTCTCACCAGACTGCATGGGAATACTACAGTTTCTTAGCAATTGAGATGAAAAGCTTTGAAGAATGCACTGTAACAATCACTTAAAAGTGTCTGAATGTGTATGAACTTGTGTATATGGACTATCGAATACCTTTGACATGTTTTTCCTTTTCTCGGTCGTGGTGGTTACCTTCCATTTAAATGCAGAAGATTTACCAGAATCCTCCATAAATTCAGCTGGATTTATCCTCTTCAGACACACTCTTACATCTTTAACAATACCAAATTTCTTTCTCAGTTCACTGTCTTTTTCCTGATGTGCTTTTTTTCCATTTTTTTGCAAGTCTTTTTCAGGTGGATAAGCAGTCTGATTGAAGAACTGAAACAAGAAAGAATAGAATTTTACCATGGGAGGGTGTGTGTGTTTACTCATAAAGAAGATAAACTTCTCCAGTTTATTTTCAAGGCTTACTTCTTACTTCTAGTTTTTTCATACTTCAGGGAGATGGCTTTGCAAGAAAATTTTGATTCAGAAGTGGCCTTTCCAGCTAGACCTTTCTCTCTCCAAAATTCACTGTTATTTAAAATGTGATGCTGACAGCACTTATTATCTGCTTGCAGAAACAACACCTTCTCCCTTGGGAAACACTTACCATTATGCTAAACTAAGTCTTACTATTCTTAAATAATGACAGGTTGCCCCCATGTGTGCAGTACTTTCATCCGGCTCAAGTATTAAGAAATCTGGATATATCCCATGAGGCAACCTAAATTATCTAATTATACTTTATTTTTATATTGTAAGGTATAAGGCCTGCAAGCCTTACTTTGATTTGCTCTACAGGGATTTGTACCCACTGTGTTTAACTTATGAAATCAAAATCAGAGCATTCGTCTTTCTTAAAAATCTTCTACAAAATGCATCTTCATTGCCTTTTGCTGTATCTTAGAAGGAAAGTGGATATGTACTATGCATATATAGACATTGTGCTGATCACCCCATGCTACTACCTGTTGCTCTTTCCCAGAAAAAGGAGAGCACCATTTGGGCTGAGATGTAGTAGCCATCCCGTGGGAAGAGAAAAGTGCTGCATTGAAAGTTTCATGTTGATATGGGGGGGTAGTAGGACATTTTATGTTCTGTTTTAAAAAATACTTTTTTTTTCTTGACAGTGGTGGATGTGGAACCTTGCTGGTTATATCATGAATAGCCCTGCATGTTATGACATGAACTGCTGTCTTCCTAAGCAACATATCACGGCTGTGTATTTCCATTCTTGATGACACGACTTCATCCCTTGTTACATAGAGGAAGAAAACTCTCCCATTATGTATCATTAAAGCATTATCCTTAAAGAGAGGAATATCTACTTTGTCTCTATTTCCAATAGGACTGAGAGATGACAGTGGTAACATATTTTTTAAATCTTTATTCTTAGGATTGGTCAATGATTTTAAAATCACTGAAACAATACTGTTAGATGACTTTACAATAAGGGGACAAGATCTTGTTTTCAGTAGCTCTTCTTGTGCATGCTGTTTCACTGGGCTTATTTGGGAACACTGCACATCTTCAAAACTCTGTTTTGCTAAGTTTGGGCTGGTTGGTTTTAATGACTTTGGTAAAATGGTCAAAAAGGATTTGGAAGGATGTTTCATCTTTATTACTGGCCACACATAAGTAACACTTGGTATTTCTGTAGCTTGTCTTATGTCAGAGACATTCTTAGCTCTGGCTGAGATTAGTTGCTGAATTTTAAGAGGGAGAGAAGAAAGTGGCACAGATACAATTTTGGCTTGAGGTGGTATCTCAAGATCATATTTAAAAAATGGTCCTTGAGGCTTCTTGGTCACATTAAGAAGTTCTGTGATTCCTGACAGTGGCACCTGGTCTTGGTCAAAACGAGTTAGTAAAGGGTATCTTTCCAGAGAGATGTTTCCAGCTGCAGCTTCATTACTCTGACCATTCAAACCTCTCGAGGACAACTTTTGTCTTGTAGCAGAGGTCATGCTAACATTTTCTAGTATGTCCAACTTCTGGCAGGAAAACTCTTCACTATTAAAGCAGGATACACTAGCATCAGAGTAGATGCTGTATTGGCTTCTGGCACCAGAAAAACATTATGGCTTTGACTTAATGTATTCTGTTTAGACAAGTGAGTTATGACGAGCTGGTATATGCTGGCAAGGTTTCCAGAGGAAGAAGGATGCAGAAGCTTCAGTAAGTTTCCGCTGTCTTCATCTCTTTCCTGAAGGTCTTCATTTATGCAGCTGACCCACTTAAAATAAAATTAAAATGTTATTATATATTTGTAAATGCACAGTAACAGTGTTTTTTTAATGGATGTTTTTCATAAGAAAAATTATCTTAAAATAAGTTAATTAAAACACAGAAATATATTTGTAATTTAAATACTAAAGCTTATCAAGTCACTAGGATTTTTCTGCAGCATACATTTGTTCTGAGATACTTCCAACTTTCAGTTATATGATCAGTGAGTTCCTGTCAGCTTTAGTAGGATTTCTATTTGGCCTCGTAGTGCAAACTGCTCAGGGACAGAATCTGTTTTTCTTGGATGTAGCATCCCCATCCACTCACATAAGAAGATGTGATTTCTTAGATACAATGCAATTAAGTGCATCATTTCTAGTAAAGATGGGCTTAATCAAAGAGTCGATTTTTACCATGCTTGCAGAATTAATTCATTTCAGCAGTCACTCCCAGCTTACACTGCTGTCAGCTGTAGCAGAATCAGACCCAGTAGCTTTGTCATGGTTTTTAATAAAGACTTAGCAAAAAAAGGAAAAAAAAACCACACAAACAGATTCAGATGCTTATCCAGGACTTATCAAATGCTCCTAAGCATAGCTATACTTGCAAGATGCTAACCAACTAAAAGTGCCTATTTGAGTCTACAGTAGAATGAAACATGAATGTAAATTCACATCATGAGAAAGGCAAAGATAGAAATGGATTAAAAACAAATTAATTTTGAATTCATCAGTCCTATTCCAATGGTTCTGTTCTCCTAGGAACAGCCTACTTATCTTGGCACTACAGACTTCATTTTGTAGAAAGTAAACACTTGCATTATTTGCATGCCGATTACACAACTCAGATGTTTCTCAGCCTTCCTGACTATAGAATTGACCATTGATTTTCCCTCTACAATAATTTGAAGTGATTCTGCCTCTTATCTTACATACATACAATTTTATTCCTCTGAGTTAGTTATATGAGCCTTTATTAACAGATCATGTAAATTAACTTTGCTGGGTAATTCTAAAAAGTAAAAACAAATAAACTGAAAAATAAAATGAGATTTCTTTTTACTTCAGGACAGGCCTACTGCATTTATGATGCAGAGATAATATACATTAATTCCCTGAATCTAATCAGGAATAATTAGAAATAATTATACTAATTTTCAACAAATCATTTGAATAATTGATTGCACATATAGGATGAGTTAAACCTTCTGTAACAAGCAGAATATATAAGTCCTTTTTTTCCCTTTGTTATCCTTCATGTTTTTTTCCTTAGATAAGCACTTTACTTTCTCCTAGATAAGCACTTTACTTTCTCCTAGATAAGCACTTCTTATTATAAGGATCGTATCTATATTCTGAGTTAGGTAGTGATCAAGCTAGGACAGGACCCCTGCCCAGAAAAGTCTATGAACGACCTTTGCACAGGCCTTTGCAATTGGCCTGAACAATTAAACATTCTTCTGCTGCTACTGCGCAATCACACCCCGAGTGATTCTTGAATTAAAAGGAGAGAGTTGTGGTTTTGATAGCTAGAAGATTTGCTGAACTGTGAAACCAGCTTAGAAAGAAAAAAAAAATATATGGTTGCAGAAGAAAGACTCCTTGATTCTGAGAGACCCATTTTAGGTATGGAATTCCACAGCTTGCTATGAATCTCTCATATTCTTATATGTACCACATATCTAAAAGTTGTACAGGCAACAACTTTCTATAATGTAGAGCAGATAAGGAAAGAAAACCAGGCAAGCACAAGCAGCACTTCCAAGAGCAGCATATTTCTTCATATTAAAGAGTAGCTGGCTTTTGAATATTTATCGTTTCTCTTTATTGCAATTAATGCATCTCATTGCTTCGAGTGCCTGCAAGCACAGAGTCCCCACATGACTGAAGTTTGGTAAAAAGTTTTAACTACCCAGAAATCTTAGCACTCACTCTGGGGGCTTAAAGTGATGTCACTGTGAGATCAGACATCTAGGGAGAAGGAATTGGCAGACAGTCTGAGCTTGGGAAATCTATCAAAAATGACCTAAACTGAAAGCTGGACACAATTTACATGAGCCAGAGAAGCTCACAGCCATGACTGGAAAGCACCTTGCTGAGTTCACCAAGGAGAATTTTGCTAAAATCATGAAAACAGGCTATTGTTCTCATGAGCAGAAATGGATCACTGGCAAAGTTGGGTGCATGAATAGTCTGAAATGTTACTTTAGTAAAGTGCTAAACCTGAGTGCTGAGCCTTTACAATACTGGGTGCTTAGGTATCCTTCCTTCTTCAGACCAAAGAGACTCATGACTTGCAATGTATTACGTCTTGAATAGTTGCAGCTCAGAAGTGACTCAATAGCTCTGCCTATGTCTTCCTTTGAAGTATTTATTAAATGTAGCTGCTTTAAATGTAGCTGTAAAGGCTCTGAATCAGTTGATATGGTGATGTGGTTCATTATCATAGTCTCAAAATTTGCTGTTTAGAGTCTTATGTGATGCTTAAAGACTTTCCAGCTAGTTGTCATTGCCAAACAAGCCCCACCACGAAACACATAAAAAAGCCAACAGAAATGCTTTATAAATCTGAATTACTGTGTCACTGTCAGCAGTTTCTGAGTTCATGGACTGTCAAGGTGTCTCAGCACTGAAAGACCCAAGGAGTCTCAATACTAGCATTTTACTGACTTTAAATAGCAGCAAATCACAGTGAAGAACAATATATACTGTACCTTCCAGTTCTGGCAATGTACCACAGTGACTGCTAATGTGAGATTTTTGCTAGTCCTTGAACTCAAGTGACAACCACTTGTGTTTTGGGTCAAGAGTTCCCAATGCCATTTAAAAAAAAAGAAACATTCAATTTCGTACCTTAAAATGCCCTGTTTACACAAAAAATACACCACTATAAAAATCTTTCCTTCTTCTCCCCCCTCCTTAAAAATAACTAACTACAAAGCAGAGCACTCAGACTTAAGAAGCATCACACATCCCCTTATTACTTCTACATTGTATATACAAATATTTTCCATCTGAAACTGTCTGACAATATACACTTTAGGAATTTAACACATCACTGGCCTGGCTTCATGAAAGATGAAAACAGACCTGTTTTGAATATAAAAAATGATACACGAATACTAAAATCCCCCAATATTTTGATAAAAATGTGCATATAAATATCACAATTGTGAATTTATATGAATACTTATATTCTGATTAGATTTTCATTTATAAAATTTTGACTTAGTATCTTATTTTGGTTATAAGAGTTCTTAAACACATCTCATTATATAAAACATTTTTTAGGGATTCCAAGGCTACTGCTGCGAAAACTCAGACTTCCTGAAGTACAAGCGTGACTGCTGCTGATGTGGCATGAAGTTTTTCTGCCTGGACTCGATTTAACATATAACAAAGGTGCCTTTGAGAGGTCACATCAGAGGTCTCTTTAGGAAACAAATTCTGTTTGGTGGGTACCCTTATTTCGACATTAGTTCTATGTGGGACAGTCACAGAGGTCTGTGAACTCACTCTAATTTCGGGATATGCAATACAAAATATAGTTAGGACGCTAGATTTGCTGCTTTGTTTTTTACACACACATAGTTCTTTCTCTTTTTCTACAGGTGATCCCTACGTCAGTGAAGTATATTTTATGGGAGGCAAGTGCTTGCACTGAGGCTACAGGGCTCAGAAAGGAGCACTTCTTGCTGAGAGCAGTATCTCCTCCATGGACCATGTATATGAACCCTAATGGAAAAGTCAAAGGCCGAGCGCTCTTCCCGACTACCACAGAAGGACGACCCATGAGGCCTTCCTCCCTCAGACAGTTTCTGCCTCTCTCACAACTCCTCTGCCTGGGATTTTCTCTTTTTGTAGCTGAGGTTCCCCTCCCAGGCTCTTAAGTGAGGCCCAAGGCACCAAAACCTGTACAAAGATTCGCTGCAGAGGGTGTGTGGCAGGGGGGTGTTATTTTATCTACAGGCCAGTGGTGCTTGGCCCTGTTTACAAGGGCCGCCACCCCCGCCCCCGCTCAGATGCCCCACATGGCAGCATGTTGTGGCCTGAGTCGTGGCACAGATCCCTAGTGAGCTGCAAGGGCCGCACACCAGCCATCAGCTCCAGGCTGTTTGGAAATGGGGAGGATTTCTCCATATTTAGCCCCCTTTGGTGGATTTTCCCTTTGCGCCATGCCCGGCTGCACAACAGCTCCCCAGCCCACAGCCGCTGCCACCCCTGCCTGACAGGGCAGGCTGCGGGCGCCTCCGCAAGCCCAAGGTTTGGGGGATAAACTCCGAATTCCTCAGTAAACTCGTGTCTTACCTATAAGGTGCGGCAGCAGCCGGGCCCGGCCCGGCCGATAACAGAGCGAGTGCCAGGAAGGGCCCCCCCTGGGGACGTGCGTCCCGGCGTCTCCAAAAGCGCTTGGGGCGGTGGGAGGAGCTCACCCCGCCGGGCTGCTCCGCGGGGAGCAGGCGGCCGTGCGCCGGGGTGAGCGCTGCGGGGCACGGCCCTTCAGCCCCTGCGCTGCTGCAAACCCAGCCCTGTCACCAGCAGCCCGGGGGCAGCCCAGGCGAGAGCAGCTGCCTGCTCGGGGGTGCTCAAGATGGAGCTCAGGACTCGATAATGGAGGGCAGGCAGATAGCCCTATTAGACATCCGATGTGGGGCCATGCTGCCCTTAGTGAAAGCAATTTCCTGCTTCTTGTACCAGCTTCTCTTCAACTGTATGTTTTATGTTTTTCACCAGCCGCT